GAGAGAGAGAGAGAGTGAGAGAAAGAGAGAGAGAGAGAGAGAGAGAGAAAGAGAGAGAATGGTAGAGATAAACCAATAGACAATGTATGGGCACAAAAATATCTTTCCTCTCAATCAATGCCATTATATTTCGCATTCAAATCCATTGTTGTATTTGTATTGACATTTGAGGCAAAAATTTTTCGGACCAACACTTTAAGAGAATGGCAACACTTTTTACACACAATACCCGACCATTAATTGTATGGCCAAAAGAAAAGGGCTTATAGTGTGTGTGTGTGTACTGTACTATTGGGGCACCGGTATGGGTCAGTACGGGTGCACACAATAAAGGCTTACAGTATTCAGTGAAAATTATTTTATCCCATTGTATTGTACGCACAATTGGGCTAAAATTGAAGCCCTTTTCTACTCTAGGTTGAAAAATATGTCACCTTTTCATACATAAATAAGTGATCGATAGATAATTTTTACTGCGAGGGACCCAACAATTTGCGGGCACCGGTATGCCGGTGGTTGGCCGAGGCATAGGGTCTCCGATATCTGTACTGATTGTAAGAGTTATTTCTCATACCAATAGGTTTTTCCTAAGAAAAGTACCGTTTGGTTCACCAAAATATACAGACTTTTGGTGCCCAAAAATAATGTCACACAAATAACTTATAAATTAGTGTCTCGTTCACAATACTCTCACCGTACTCACTCTCTCTCTCTCTCTCTCTCTCTCTCTCTCTCTCTCTCTCATGTATTTGTATTGACATTTGAGGCAAAAATTTTTCGGACCAACACTTTAAGAGAATGGCAACACTTTTTACACACAATACCCGACCATTAATTGTATGGCCAAAAGAAAAGGGCTTATAGTGTGTGTACTGTACTATTGGGGCACCGGTATGGGTCAGTACGGGTGCACACAATAAAGGCTTACAGTAGTATTCAGTGAAAATTATTTTATCCCATTGTATTGTACGCACAATTGGGCTAAAATTGAAGCCCTTTTCTACTCTAGGTTAGAAAATATGTCACCTTTTCATACATAAATAAGTGATCGATAGATAACTGTTAGGGACCCAACAATTTGCGAGCACCGGTATGCCAGTGGTTGGCCGAGGCATAGGGTCTCCGATATCTGTACTGATTGTAAGAGTTATTTCTCATACCAATAGGTTTTTCCTGTGAAAAGTTGGTTCACCGAAATATACACAGACTTTTGGTGCCCAAAAATAATGTCAAACAAATAACTTATAAATTAGTGTCTCGTTCACAATTCTCTCTCTCTCTCTCTCTCTCTCTCTCTCCATACTCTCTGCTCAAAAAATACAACAATGGATTTGAATGCGAAATATAATGGCATTGATTGAGAGGAAAGATATTTTTGTGCCCATACATTGTCTATTGGTTTCTCTCTCTCTCTCAGCCGCTGGACAGTTCAGACATAACCCAACTGTTTAGCCAACGGCTCTCTTATCTCAAGCCATTTGACGCTAATGTCCTGCAGAGAGGACTTTGGCTGATCATTATGTGGACGAGAATATGTCAGGTGTGGGTATAGTCTATGGCAGGAGTGGACCGGTAGGCACTCACTCACTCACTCTCATACGACTTCGGGTACAAAATACCTGAGAGAGAGAGAGAGAGAGAGAGAGAGAGAGAGAGAGAGATTGTCCTACAATTCAACTGTAATGCCATTTTTACACAGAATTTTTGGGTATAGGTGTATATAAAGTGATTACTGTGTGACTGAATTGAAAATTCATCAGTGTATTTGTCAGTTGCACAGCATTACCATGTGGATGGTGTATGTCTACTCTGGGCCAGATTCCCACGTCTACCTACAGTTTGGACACATACCTAGAGCAATGTGTGTGATTCACCCATTCAATCACTCTAGCAAATGCCAAACTAACCCAGTGTGCACCAAAAATAAACAAAGTCAATTTAGACAGTTGATGGACAAATGGAGCTAGGGAACAAAAAAGTAGACAATTGGATTTTTGAAAAACAACATGCTTAGTTTTGCCCATAAATTAAGCTATTGTTTGCTTGAATAATAGAGTTGGACAGGTGTTGGATGGGAGGGCTGGGTATGTATAATTGTCTCTCTCATATAAAAACTTGCATTTTTCTAATTGTATCAAAAGGGTTTGTGTGGTATAAAACTCCCGGTGCTCTCCACCAAAAACTGTAGGGCTCGGGCGTAAGCCCTAAACAGAGATGTATATGATTTTTAAAGCCTTATTTATAGTTACGTGAATACCAAAGCCGTTAATTTTAATAACAACTACATCTATGCCTTTAATGTTTATAATGATTATTATATTATGTTTGTCACACAGATGTGCAGTGTGTGTGAGAGAGAGCACAGGTATGTCGGGTTATGATTAGGGGACAGGCATTGAATGCGGCACTCGTTTGATATTGTGTTCATAAAATACCACATCCCGATTGACAGCCCTCTCTCTCTCTCTCTCTCTCTCTCTCTCTCAAATAAATGGATATGCGGTTAACACTAGATTATAAGTTTGGCCACTATTTGCCACAAAATTCATACTCTTGGGTCACATTTTGATTTACCCGCGATCTCTCTCTTCCCGTACTTATGGTGCGGGCGATGATATTGTCAGAGGAATGGGAGGAGAGGTTGTTATTGAAGGATAGGGAGGAAAGATCACCAATAATTTATTATTACAATATTCGTATCATTTTGAAAGTTTCCATAACTTTTAGCCACATATCTGTTATAAACATTTTAGTCGTGTATTTCATACATGAGTGTCTATGGACTGAATAGTGAGAGGGAAACAAGCGTTTAAAAACCACATCTCAATACAGACACAGAAAAAGGTTGTGTTTTTGTGACCACAAAAGAAAGAGAAGAAAAAAGTGAGAAAAGAAATGCCACAAAACTGACCCCAATTATTAAGCACTAGACCCGAGGTTTTCCTGTGAATTAAGTTATTTGGTGGTTGTGTTTGCGGCGGACATGCATTGTATGCCTGTATTATTGTGTTATCGTTATTATATATATTAGACGTTAGAGTAGGGCTTTTGTGCGACCCGTAAAGTGTACAACAAATATATGTAATCATAATTTTTTCTCACTTTCTTTTCATATATTTTTTTCAATGTTAGGTTTGGTTTCAAAACAGACGGAGCAAAGAGAGACGTATGAAACAGTTGAGCAGTTTGGGCGCCCGAAGACACTTCTTCCGGAGTCCGAGGCGAGCGATGCGACCGTTAAGGCCCGGACTCTCACCCGACGGACTCGAGGACTCGCCGGAGATGATCGGCGGACCCAACAATGGCTTCGGATACTTCTCAGGTATTATTTACAAACACTTCCCACTAATTCTTTGCGCGATTATAATAATAGCAATAATAGCCACTCCAGAGAGAGAAATATTGTTGAATAAAAGCAAAGCCATTGCAATAGAAAAGTATTGAAAAATTGTTCTTTTGATAAGAAGTTTGGCCTCAAAATCATAAAACCTTTTAAAATCACAAACATTTGAGCAGACAATACAACCACAATATAACTGAGGGCTGAGGAGTAAATGCGATACAACAATAAGGAGTGCATATAAATAAGAAACAGTGGCACAGGTTTTGAGGTTTTCTATGTGTGTGAGAGGTTTGAGAGGAGACCTACGGTATCGAAATCTTATATATTTGTGTGCAAGAAGTGAGTGTGTATTGAGTTGAGAGAGAATTCAATACAAATATACAAAGTATTGATGAATAGGGAAAAAGAGGCAAATCATACAATTGTTGCTCACATTCACACAAAACAACGACCAAAAAGAGCTGAGAGAGAGAGAGAGAGAGAGAAAACTAGAGAGCGGTTTACTTGATGTTTTGGTATTGCATTGAATGGCCAAACATGTATATATACTCATAGAGAGTGAATGGTAGAGCACATCTCGATCACGACCAGCGCTGCCGGAATAGTGAGTAGAGTGTGTGTGAGTGGAGTGGTGTTAGCAATGCTGGCAACGGTGTGTTGGAGCGAAAATCCAAGTTTGTGTCTGAGATTTTCCGAGTAAATCCCTTTCATAATCATACCTAATCCGACCACCACTACTGCCTAACTGCCTGATCCCATGCATCTCCACTGTGTATGTGATTCTTTGGTGGCACAACAGCTCTCACTTCAATCTCATAATATCATTGGAGAGAGAGAGAGAGAGAGAGAGAGAGAGAGAGAGAGAGAATAGGATACAGGGAATAGGAATAAGAGTTTTCCAAACACTAAAGCCTATCATTTGCTACTTTTCCCGAAAACCAAACCATTTGTGCATTTGTTCTGTCGCTCACATCACTTGGACTTTCAACTTCTGTGCTATCGTTTAATACATTTCCGATTCAATAGGTTTAATACATTGTCTACTCTATTATATATACCATAATATGTATATCTCATACGGTATTTGTGGAAACCTTTTTGCATATGTGTTAAGAGCGCGAGGAATGGGAGACCAAATATTTAGATTCCGCACACAAACCATGAGCTATAATAACAATACATTTATAAGCGAAACCATTTAATATGATTTGATTCTCTCTATTACTTCCTAATTAAGGACGAAAAGTGTTTTGCGAGGAAAAGGGAGGGCGATATTAGTGAACAAAACACAACAAAAAATACTCTTTATTTCATTAATGTTTGGATGAAATAGTATTTTAGGAATGCTATGAATGTGTTGTGCAGTCATTGTGTTGATCGCAACCAACAGAATATGTGTTCATTCTGTGAGCGAATTATTGTATCGATCAGTTCTGTGAACGTGTATTAGGGGTTACAATGGGTTTTCGGTACCCAAATAACACTAACATTACTCTACTATTTCTATATGTATATGTGTTTTGGAAATATATACTATTCTCATATCAGTCTCTCTCTCTCTCTCTCTCTCTCTCTCTCTCTCTCTCCAATGATATTATGAGATTGAAGTGAGAGCTGAAATTATATAATTTACATTATTATATTTGCATAATAAGATGTATAAATTACTTTAACACACCCTTTTTGTTCTCTCTCTCTCTCTCTCTCTCTCTCTCAGTAAAGGGGACTCAGTTTGTGTGCCGATGTCTCCAATGATCCATTCTGTGCATCGATTTTCGATTTTAGCTCAAAACTAGCGCTACATTTCGTATATAACAATACACACAACCAAACACACGATCGCATTGCTTTAGCACAGGGTCATTGAGCTTACCATTTAGAGGCCTACCATTCCCTAAACCATATCATACCAAACGATATCATACACCAGAATATATATACTAGTCTTGTATTATATATTGATCACCAAATGATCACAATTCTTGGTTTTCCTTTGCACTGTCTTATATACCGAGCGCTGCGAACGAGTCATAAATAGTAAAAATACTTTTCTCTAACTTTCAATGTTTTTTATGACCAAATAATTACAGATTCGAGTAATCCGAGTGAGTTTCAGTACGGCGTGCCTCAGCCCCAACACAACGGACCCCTCGATCAGGGCTTCTATGACTTTTTCCCCCGTCAGGGGCCACCAGTTCACGCGCCCGACGGTATGGTTCCCTCATTCATGGGCGACCCCTCACACCTCGGCCACCATCCGGCGCCACTCGCAGCCGACGCCCCCTTCATGACCGACGGCCAGACCGGCGGACACACCGCCCAAATGGTTACGCAACACACGCCAGGCATCGGCCCCTCCAATGTTGACGGAGCCCTTCACTACTGATTTTATTCAAATTGATAAATGATTACAACATATTATTATTAATTATTGATTATTATTATTATTACTTAAGTGTAAAAACTTGTCACAAATGAAATGAAAATAAAACGATGTTATTCTCTCTCTCTCTCTCTCTCTCTCTCTCTCTCCCTCCCCTCTTCTCTTCACTTACTCTCTCAATAACTAAGTCTTTGTCGAAAATGATAACAGAGTTATGTATAAGAAATACAAATTGAAGCAAAATTTATGTGTTTTACCACAAAATTCACTGAAAAAACTAGCGTTTTATTGCAATTCACGTCATATTAGAGGCGATATTTTTTCTTGATAAATATTTTTACACATTTTAGACATTTGTTTTGTGAGTTAAGGCATGTATTGAAGGGATAAATCAAAAGCTCATAGGAATGAGTGGAGGGATAGAGAGGAATGAGATCTTAAAATTCAAGTATGAATTTTGTGGCAAATAGTGGCCAAACTTATAATCTAGTGTTAACCGCATATCCATTTATTTGAGAGAGAGAGAGAGAGAGAGAGAGAGAGAGAAAGAGAGAGAAAGAGAGAGAATATGGTATAAATTGTTGTAGATGGTGTGGTGTCTAAGGCATGTGTGTAACCATAGCATCGCATATAATATATAAGAATGAGATACGAAAAGGTATACCAAAATAACATAGAGTACAATACTGTTGTATATTCTTGTATCAGTTTTGTGTGTTATGTGTTTGTAGTGAAACTCATCGATTTGGTAAGCATTTGGTAATATCCCTGACCGCCCACTGAAACCATTTGTATTGCTTTACACAACAACTATGGACTAAATAATTTCTCTCTCTCTCTCTCTCTCTCTCTCTCTCTCTCGCACCTTAAGTCATAATTTTTATTTGAAATCAATAATAATAATCATAATAAGGAATAAACTGCGGAGATATACCGTTTTCCTAATGTTTTTGACCTCATTATTAAGTTGTCTTTTAGTTGCAAAAGACTATAATTTTTGCGATGAATTCAATGACTTCTTCTCAGTAGAGATTATTGTATAGAAAATTGAAATCAATTTGTAATATAATACACACTTATGTTTTGTTTGCACTATTTGTTTGGTATTTAATTTATTCTATTCATCAATTGAATGGCAAAAATTGTTCAAACTTTTCAAAAACTCCTGTTATATACAGAATATCTGTTATTATTTTACATTTATAAATCTTATAGTAAAATATAAACGTGTGTTTTGTATAATTATATACAAACATCGTTTTGAAACATATTATTGTCTAATAAAATGACAAATCAATAGATATGGAGAGAGAGAGAGAGAGAGAGAGAGAGAGAGAGAGAGAGAGAAGTGGTGTCTAAATATAATGAGTATTATTAGTGTCAGTGTTTTGATGGTAAAAGTATTTTATAATTCTTAGACTCAGTCATCGAGTATTTCAATGTATGGTTATGTTTGCCAACGGAATACTGAATACATTCGTACTAAACATGATTAAAAGATCTCTCTCTCTCTCTCTCTCTCTCTCTCTCTCTCTCGTCAGGAATTATTATAAATATTTTCATTTTGAAATCCCTTCTCTACTTCACAGTAGTTACTACTCTACTGTAAATCCGATGAATAGTTATGTTTTGAAAAAGTATAAAATATATATAAATTGTTGTGTAAATCATATAATGGTAGATATTTTAAGCTACAAAATGCCATAAAGTATGCGATGTGTGAGTGTGTGTGTGATCTAAATATCGGTGTGACTGCACTGTCAGTGCTGTGTTTAACTGACCCACACTTCAATTGACTCGCGATCTCTCTTTTGAAATGTTATTTTGCAATTCACCCAAAACTCAGATTATCGTTCACTACAGTCGTAGCCCTTAGCCCTTACCGTCATTGAATTCGCTGTCAAACTGCATACATACAGACACACAGAATATATACTGTATATATACTGTATATACAGAATATATATAAACATTCATATATCTACACACAGTATACATGCATACAACATAAGCATCGCTTTGACTGAGTTTTTCGTCAAACCATTCAGTAGTGAATGTAATACCTCTTATCAGAAGAGAGCAGACGGCAAAGACTCCAACAAAGCTCACTCAGCCAAACGGCCATTCATCGACTGTACCAGTTCTGTGCCAGACATCACTACTGTACCAAACAGAGAGAGAGAGAGAGAGAGAGAGAGAGAGAGAGAAGTGGTGTCTAAATATAATGAGTATTATTAGTGTCAGTGTTTTGATGGTAAAAGTATTTTATAATTCTTAGACTCAGTCATCGAGTATTTCAATGTATGGTTATGAGTATATGACTTCAATATTGGTTTCACGAATATAATGGTGAGGAGAGAGAGAGAGAGAGAGAGAGAGAGAGAGAGAGAGAATCGTTTAACAATAAAAATCTATTTTCAAAATTAATGTCTCGGTATTTATACACAAATCAAATGCCATTTATTATACAGGGATTGTAAAGCGCCGAGAATTTCTCTCAAATCAAATGTACAATTCCTATGACTTTTACCTCATTTCTAAATCACATCTCTCTATACTATTCATATAAAGTTGTCAGAAGGCGTTGTTATTACGTTCTCTCTCTCTCTCTCTCCCCTCACCATTATATTCGTGAAACCAATATTGAAGTCATATACACAACAAAAAATATTTTTATGAATACAATAATGCATATAATGTATAACCCCATGAAATTGGAGTCTAGAAGCAAACGCTAAGGTAATGTCACGCTCGGGCTTATAATGGCTGTGTGTGTGCGAAGTGGTGGGCATTCAAACCATTGGCAGTGGGTTTAGACATCGCTTTTTATTGTCTCCCATTTACACCTTTCGACACGTTATACATGTATATTCTTGAGATATATTGATAGATAATAAAATGTATATATTTTCTGATGGTTTTAGTTAAAGTTTAGTTAAAGTTTATATATAAATGAGAACGAAGTGAGTGAGAGAGGGAGAGATCATCGATAAAACATAATATGTATTCACACAATAAGTTATTGTCAATAACACTACACAAAACTTTATGAACAGTTTTTGTCTTGAAATATGACTTATTTAAGCAAAAAATAAATTGTTTTCAACTCAAAAAATAAAATATTTCATCGCTTCGTATAATGACAACAAAAATTGGAAAATAATATACAATTTACACAAAAATAGTTGAATGCATTCACAACTGGATATTTGTGTTTATTGGGGGTAAGGAATGGTAAGGAATAGTAGAGGAATGGCTACCAAAAAACTTCCTCCACTCCTCCTTTATTACAGGGCGCTTATACTCTGTCTATGTATTTGCGATGCGATGTGTGGCACAGGTAGGTATCGGTGCTATGAATATTGCATATCTCTAGTGAACTCAACAATATATATAAATATAAACGATGAAGAGCTGCGGGTTTTACGCAATTTATTTCATAAAAATGTTGTCACATTTGTGTGAATAATGCGATTTCGTAGGCATTCATACATTTCAAGTGAGAGTAAGAGAAATACTGCTATCATTTGCTGTTTAATTCATTAATTTTGTGAGTCTTTTACAGTAAAACACAAACAAATGATAATTTGTTTTCTTGTCTTCTCTTTCTCTTGAATTCGCATTTTTGTGTTTTTAGTTTATTTATATTTATTTCTATATATTATGTTTTTGAGACAAAATCATAATAAATTATATATTGGCTCAACCCATGAATAAAGAATTGTTTTTTGTTTGGCTCTATCGGGCAAATGATGCCAAAACTAGCCCTCATTATTATAAGGACGAGCCCTAAGTTCGAGCCAAAAACCTATCTCAACAAAAGTTAAGTGCCTTTCGCTGTGATATCACTTTCCGACTGGTTTTTGACCAACAGATCAACTGCTTTATAATGGGAAAGGCAGTCGACTTTGCGTCGAGTCTTTCTTTCTCTCCCTCTCTCCTCAACATTAAAGATGATAATGAGAGCAAAAAATTAGAAAAACAGAAACACTGCGAGAGAGAGAGAGAGAGAGAGAGAGAGAGAGAGAGAGATTGCCTTAATTCTTGTCATAAGTTGTATTTATAATAATGTTATGGTTGCATGAATAATAACAATATGCTTGTATCTAAAGGTAAACGCAATTGTGTTGGCGAGACATTAGCACGAGTGGAGGTATTCCTGTATTTCGTATCACTTTTACAAAGATATACAATAAGTGCCGAAAACGAAGAGATGTTGTCATTAGAGGAGAGATTTGGTTTAACACTACAGCCAAAGGAATCGGTTATTCTTAGGTTTCAAAAACGTGTTTAAACTATTGGCCATAAATAGTCTGAACTCACGATTAGCTCATTCTTGATGTGAATAAACCAATTCTGTTAATAGAAGAATATTCTTGAATATAAATATTCTCGTTTTATTGTCACTATTATTAGACACTATTATTGACATTAATTGCAGTCATAAACAGGCAAACAAAACATGATAAGATTTATACTCAATATAACTCTGTTTATACAATGAATACAATTATAATAAATTGGTTTTTTCCTAATTATATTAATTTTGCTAATTATATCATTACATTGTATTATCATCTGTCGATTTATACTATTAATTAAATATTAAACAAAATTAAAACTAATTTTCATATCACTTATTTTCATTATAACGTATAAGAATTGATGTCAATGTTAATGAATTTCGCTCATAAAATATATGTTTGTATTTCAAGGTTTGAATATAATTACAATATCAAGAATTGGAAAAATAATACAATTTAATGACTAAAACGCTAGTTATTTATATATTTACTGCAAATCAATACACATTATAATCAATATTTAAAATTATACTATTAATTATCATAAGGTTTTACAATACAAACTTCAGATATCAAGTAAAAATTTTATTTATAAATTTATTTGGCGACACAATCAGTGCCTACATATGGGCGGACGCACCGGTGTTGGTCTACATCAGTTTTAGTAACATGGTAAATGTCAAAATATAGTAGTTAAATTATTTTTACTATAGTTTAATAGATTTCTGA